GCTCTGTTTTTGTGGGGTCTATGTTATTTCACTATTCTGCATTATGATTTAAAGTAGTAGTAATAGTAGTAGTAGTAGTAACAACAACAACAACAACAACATCTGAACTGCGGAACTGGAAAGGATCCTATGGGTTGTCAAGTCCAGCCACCCTCAAGGAGGCACAGTGGGGAACTGAACTCCCAACCTTTGCCTCTGCAGCCACATACCTCAGCCACTGAGCTAGATCTACAACTATATAGATGGAACTACCTGTATGAATCTCCCTTGTGGAACAGGAACCAGCCTTTAAACAGTACAACGGTGCCACTTGATAATCATGTGGAAAAGCAAGCTCCTGTGCACCTCTGTACCATTTACAATACCACTTTGTCAAGTCATATGTCTTACTTCTACCCTTAAACTTTAAGGCACATTGGAGTAGATTTATTGGGAAAACAGAATTTCCACCCTCTGCTTCATCAGAAAATGGGATGGAGCAAAGGCACAAATTTAAAGCATTACAGCAGCAAGACAAGAGAAGTAGCTGACAGGACTAATTCCCTTTCATCTCCCTCTCCCTCTCCCCCTCCCTCATTCTTTTACCCTCTTATGCGCATACAGGAAAAACTGTATCTCAGAGGTAGAGCATTGTAACAGCCACTCTCAAACCTAAAAGAGTGGTTGCTACTTTACTTTAAAACTCTGCTGCCACCAACTTATCCTTAAAAATCAAAAGAAGGACAAGTGTAACTTTGAAAACAAAAACTGGTTTATTGATTACCGGAAATAAAAGAATAGTAAATCACTAGTAAGGAATCAATAAGTCAATCACTGTTAATAAATCACTGGCTCACACAGACTATTTCACACTGACAGGCTCTCTCACTCACTATAACTAACAATCACTTTAAACCCTCAGCACAAGCTCTCATCTCTAATCCCTATCTGCCCTCACACACTCTTCACCCCCCTTTTTATACCGGCTCCTCCCCTTAAGTCCCACCCTCCGTCACACCATTGGCTGATGACTCACTGCCCAGCTGTGACGGACAGGTGATGTTTTGGCTGCCCGTTACAAGCCTGTACTCCACACATTTCCAGGCTACAAAGCATAAATGTCTACGAAACCCTGTACCCCTCCCATGTCACACAGTCCCCATCTCAGATGTTCCTAAACACAGACAGGTGTCTTTTTATTCAGATAAGTCCAGGACAAGATTATGAGCTCACAGTTCTCCATCTTCAGTACACAGGGGCAGTTATGGATAGGTAACTATAGCTTCATGTAGCTGTGGGTATGTCTCCTTTTTCCTTTCCCCAGTTTAGTTTCAGACACCAAGTGGATTCCCCCTAGGAAAGTGTCCTTTAGCAGCTGGCTTGGGGAAACCCAATCTTCACCAAACTTGGAGGGATTGTAGCGAAGTGTCTCAAGAAGCTTCTCTGTGATTTTGGTATCTCTAGGTGCCTTGGGTGCTGCTTTACAGCCAAACAAATGAAAAATTGCTAAAAAAAACATTGATTGATTCATGATTCATCAGAGCATTGATTCATATGAATATGAATTAACAAATCAGCAGTTTCTGTATGAATTTGATGGTTCGTTTTTTTTAATTCATGGCCATCTCTACTTCCTAGTGAGCCATGGGGATATGTCCAATGTGTCCGCCCCATGCTCCTCCAAACCAGAATGAGGAGGCATGTGACCCCTGCCAGCTGACCTGATTCTGGAAAACTGCTTGGCTCACTGGGTGGGCCTAGTGGGGTTCCAATGTTTTCAGCCCTCGGCTGCTACTGAGGAATTCTGGCACTCACAGTGGTGGACAAGTCCTTTTGTTCTGCAGCTGGGCAAAGGTGTCCTGGCTGGGACCCTTCAGGTGGATGGCACCCCATGCTGGCTTCTGCTCCCCACAGGTGCCTAACACTTTGACCTTGGGCTTACAGAGAAGGTTCAAAGACTCCAAGTCTCATTCATGTCCTGGTCTCTACCCATGCTATTTCACTTCCTTGGCAACTCTCACCTCTGTGCTTCTGCCTCCACATCCCAGTGTCATGCCTCCTGTTGCTCTCCCACTGCTTCCTTCTTGTAGGGCAAAGGAAAGGCTACATGACATGCCATTTTGCTTTCACTTCTGGGCACTATGGCCTCCCCATGTCCTGCCCAGCCCTCTTCAGAGTGAGCTTCAAAGCAGGGAAAGGCAGGAGGCTCCAGAGATGCACCTACCTCCATAATATATATGATACTGTATTGATGTCGTTCCATGAGAGCCCAGTTCTTTTGCTTGTTTTACATCAAGGAGTAAAGGGATTCCTACAAATGTAAATGATTTAGGAGAACATGCTAAGGTTGGCCACAGATTCCAGAGCCATGTGTGGAAACTATTCAAATATTGTTAGACATAGAGTTCAGAAACAGAAATATATATATGGAATCCAAGTTTTAAGCATTAGAGAAAGTGCAACATATGGTAAAAATATATTGTATTCGAATTATTTTAAAAGTTGTCCATCTGTATTTTATATTATTTTGCAAATTCTTTGTACTTTTGAAATGCTGAAAGACCTTGTTTATTTTTCTTTTAAATGAGTAAACAATCACTCCAGCATTAAGTATTTTTTTCAAACACAGCTTGGCTGGATTATTGCTAATTTATTATCTTGGATGCCTGCTCAGATTCTCCCTCCAAATTTCTTAGATTAATGGACACTTTCCATCTGACATTTCTTACATTTTCTACATTGCTCAGTCATATATAAATATGGGAAAATATTTTTAAGGGGTTTTATACTTAACTGCAAAAGCCCTTCCACCCACTAACATCCTGCTAGAAGGCCACCCACTGACCTTTCTTAAACAAAGCCTGTTGATTTCGGAAGCCATCTACAATTGTTCCCCTTTGTCAGAAAGGCTGCATGGCTATGCCTTAGTCCCATCATGCTGAGCTGCTGTGGTGCACCATCTATGAAACTTAATCCGCATTTCTTTCAAAGATTAGCTCCTCTCAAGGTTTTGTGGGCCTTCACCTCTCCCCTCTCACCTAGGATACTCCTGTGGGTGTGAGTTCTCTTTCTTCCTACCTGAATTGTGAAGAAATGTGAGAAGGTGTCCATATACTTTTCTAAAGCTTTCAGTGTTAGTTGAAAATAGACACCATGTCAACCAGTGCTACTAGACAATGGTAGTAGCTATTAACAACTTTGTTGTTTGGTCACTTCAATAACCAGCAGTTGTCCAAGGAATCTATTATGATGTAAGGCAAGCTACACTATGTGGTCAATCAAGGTCTACCTCAGTACAACGCATAACATCCTAGCAGCAGAGCTTAATCCTACTTGCTTCTCATGTAGGAAAAGGTCTAAACTTAGTAGAAGCTATTACCATTGAAAATGGAAAGAGTCGATAGCCTTTGAAAGACGTGAATCATGAAACTTGCCAAAGAATGATGCTCAGGTCAGCTATTTGACATGTCAGGAATTTGGAGGCAAGGATGGATAATAAGATGATCAAGATTGCAATGAACATCAAAGTACACAGGATGGTAAGAACTCAGAAAGATTATGAAGAGTTTGAAATCAGGGAAACAGACGACAAAATGGCAAACGAGAATTTGTGAAGAAAGTGTGCATTGAAATATCTTCCCCCACTCCCAATCTGATGTATACACTAAGAGGATTTGAATTCTCAGTGTTGGGTCCTGTGACTGTTCAGGGGGGAAAATGGTGTTCAGGTCAGATGATAGAGAAAGATAAGAAGAACTTCAGGATGAGACAGAGAGCTTTCAAAAGTGTGGGTTTGATGATAGAGATGGTTGAAAATTTAGAGGGTGGTTTGAAGAGGGTTTGATGGTATAGATGGAGTAAGAGTTTGAGGTTGTGTCAGTGAGATTTGAGTGCTCAGCTTTTAAAAAGTGAGGATTTTCTCTTCACTGAATACATCTGTATTGAATAACAATTGCCATCTCTCTTTTCCAAACTCACCTTCAATAGCAATATAGCGGGCAGATAGAATATTATCTCCCCCGTATTAGGATTTGCTATACCTATTCATTTTAGGCAAGAAAGAAATTGGAGGATTTTGTTAGGTACATTTCTGAGAAGCTGAAACTTCATAAATTCAGCTAAACAATTTGAAATTAAGCCAGAACCTCTAATGTGGGAGAAAGTGAAGTTGTCAGATTTCTCCATCATTAGCAAATGGCTCACTGATAATGTCAGCTCTCTCTTTTATAATAATAAAGAAGGCAAATTGAATAAGGGGTATTAGGAGAGAACTGGGGAAAAATCCCAACAAATGTAATCAATGGTACCAGAGAAATCTATGATATACCAACAAGTAGGATATTACGTGCAGCATTAATCGCTGCATCTGGTGAGGGGAGGGGTAGAACAGAACTGAAAAAGACAGAAATGACCAGAAAAAAACGTGTGATGGGGAGGTGTTAAAGAGCTGAAGGTGGGACTGGGAAACAGTGAACACCTGTTTGGCTGAAAAATGAGCAAAAACTGTGTTGCAATGTTGCTATGCTATTAAATATATACAAGGGTTGGTCTTTACCATCATGGCCCATAGTGGGCTGTACCAGCACTGATATGGACACTGATTTGGAGAAAGACAGGTCAGATGAGGCATTAGCACCATCTGCAGAAGCATTAGATGGTGACAATACAGCTGGGTTCCATCAGTCAAAGTTCTTTAGGGCCCAAGATTCCTAAACCTCAGACCTCTTAGCTATAACCACTGAGGACTGAAGCCCCTCAGCTGAATTCCACTGACCAACCAACCTTGTTATTTCCCAAGGCCTCATTGTTTGATGACAGACTGATAGGCCTCTTCCTTTCAGGCCTCTTTCATTCTCTAACCAGAGCCAGACCTGGGCAAGATCTCCTCAGGGATGATGCAAGAGCATATTGGGCACCTGGAAATTGTCAGGATGAAACGACTCTTCCTCAGTGCCCGAGCAGTGAACGCTAACTGACAGTTGGGTGTGTGGGTGGGAGGCAGAAGATTCCATGGGAGACAGAATAGAACAGGCCACTGTGGTAGAGCAGTGAACAGGTGCAGTCCACATCACCAAGATTTGCCTCAAGTTTTACCTGTATGTGGAACTATTTGTTTTCCCCTTTTCACAACAAGCAAGTAAAGAAGATGACATTGGGAGGTGGTGATTGGTGTATGGTCACAGAGTGGATTCACTTATATCTGAATGGGCAACAAGCACCCATGTGCTCTTGGTCTACTTTTTCTTCTGCACAGTGTTCATATAATGTCTGAATTAGAGATGGGCATGAATCACAGGGTCAGCAGTTTGTGCTGGTTCATTTTGGGGCTGAGCAGGTGTTTGGTGGTTCCCAGCCCTACTTCCTCTAGCCGGTGCCCACTCAGAGGCAACACCCAGAGAAGGCGGGGCAGGGAAGCCAGGGCACTGTCTCTGAATGGGCACCTCCCAGAGGGGGTGGGACTGGAAAACAGTGAACACCTGTTTGGCTGAAAAATGAACCAGTGGTTTGTGTCAATCTCTAGTCTTAATCCCTTCAGAATCTCCTTCACTTGTCTTCAGAACTAGAAATTTCAGGATTTCTCACTCTGCACAGACATTTTTTAACCCCCAAAAGTGATGAGTCATTTTTTTTCTATAGTTGGTAATTACTTCAATTCATTTCTTACTATAATTAGTGTATGTTATCAAGCAAAAATGGTATCCTTTTAAACCCGGTTTTCAGTACATCAAATAACAATTAATTTATATTACAATGGTTATCCACTCAGACACTTCTCTTTTTATTGTTCATCATTATTTTCTGCTGACAAGCTTTAAATAAATTCTTCCCATACTTCCTGACATTATTGGTAGCATGCGCCAAGTTACAATCTGTACTCACACTTTATCCTTTGAATTTATGGGATGGCTGCTTCCTCTGTCATTATTAACAAACAGCGACATGAAGATACTCAAAATGTGCTTCTTTGCTATGAATGGCAGCTGTGATGTGCAACAGCCCCTTTAATTTTGCATCTCTAATTTGAGTACATGTGTGAGTTATTTTATTTTCTTCCTTTTTTTGCTTTGCCTGAAACATTTTTACAGTTCATCTCTGCCTATTTCTTCATTACTTGAACAAACATCTAATTAAATCTTCTGGAAAGTAAAGCAAATGCATACGTTAACAAACATTACATGAATATTTGAAAACTAGCTGTGTTGTGCCGATACTGATTATCTTATTGGCTTTTGAAAAAGCCTTAATCAGATACAGCAGCCAGCTGCTCTTTAATAAGCACAGTTCAGAATATTTAGTGTCAGTTGTGCAGTACATGCACATTTGTATTAAAGGCAAAATCTAAATTGTGAGTGACAAATATAGAGTTCACATTTTGCCTGTGTTAGTGTATGTGGTAGAGCACTTCATTAAGGACTCTAGCTACATACCCCTTTCTTTCAGTGACTGAAATTCTATTACTTAGTGTAGTAAGTCACTTCAGAGTGGACCATTGATGTATTGGGGATCTGGTGAGTGAATTCCTCCATACGTTCCATTTATCTGAATGGGCCTACTCTAGTTATGACTTACTTTGGCATAGTAAATCACAACTAAAGTAAACCCGTTGGAATCGATGGAACGTATGAAAAAGATGACTCACCAAATCTCCAGTGATTAAATGAGTGTAGTCGAATGCTTTTTACTACACTAAGCAACAGGATTTCAACCAATGACTCATGTGAACAAAGCATGAAATCTATAGAAGAGGGCAGATGTTCCCCCTTTAAGTATATATTCATGTCTACTCATATAATATACACTAGGATGAAGCAAATATCTCTCACATCCCCCTTCTTTCAATTTAACATGGATGATTTTTAAAATTATTTACAGCTCTTGGGGGAGGATCCATTTTTTCTCTCATTCCTCTCCCTCCTGTGTAGTATTGTGTACAAACTGTCTATGATGAAATATAGCATGTAAAACACAGGCAACTGTGTCAACTAGTCAGCACATGAACTTACTGTATACAAATTCTCTTCTGGGCTATGCCTTTAATAATAATATCAATAGTCTTTGAACTTACTGTATACAAATTCTCTTCTGGGCTGTGCCTGTAATAATAATATCAATAGTCTTTGAACTGAGCTGGAAGGGACCCCGTGGATCGTCAAGTCCAGCCCCTATCGAGGTGGCCCAGTGGGGAATCAAACTCCCAACCTCTGACTCCACAGCCTGAGACCTAAACCAGCAAATTATAATTTCTCAGCGCAAACTGCAGGTTTCACACAACGACACATACACATTCAGAAGCTGGAATGAAGAGGAAAAGATGAGAACAAGAGGAAGAAATTGAACTTTGTTGCAAATTGCAAAAGAAACAGCAGTCCTCATGAAATCTGGGAAACAGGCTCCTCAACCTTTTTCACCCCGCGGACCGGCTGGGGAAGACAGGGCACCCCCGTGCTCATGTGCATGCGTGAATGAGCATGGACGCATGCACAAACAGTGGTGCTTGCGTGAGCACGCTGTTGCGGATGCACAAACGGTGGCGCTGCACTTGCACAGGCATGCTGGAACACGAGGCAGGGCACCCCCCCGTGCTCATGTGCATGTGTGAATGAGCATGCACGCATGCACAAACAGTGGTGCTTGTGCGAGCACGCTGTTGCGGATGCACAAACGGAGGCGCTGCACTTGCACAGGCATGCTGGAGCACACGCATGTGCAAATCAGCTGTGCGGGGGTCAGTGCATGCGGGGGTGAGGCAGGAGGTCTGTCTCTGCGGCCCAGTCCGGCTCAGGCCACGGACCGGCACCGGGCCATGGATGGGGAGTTGGGGACATCTGGAGAGGACTGCCATGTTCTGAACCTTGGTGAGACTCCATAGCCAAGAGGTGTAGTGTATTTGGTTAAAGAGTCTCAATTTTGAGAAAGGGGCCTCATAGGGCTGTGGAGGAAGGAGAAAGAGGTGAAAGAAAAAGCGGGTGGAGATATGGCTGGAGAGAAACAACAAAGGGTTCTGTGAGAAATACTGGAATTTCTCACCATATATAGAAAATGGTAAACACAAGAGTCAAGCTATTAAGAGCCCTTCTTTCTTATGGAAGAGAGGATCGACACAAAAAGCAGGATATTAAGGACCCAGAAATCCGAAAAGACATGCAGACAGGGAGAATTTCATAACCATTTTTGTGATTATATTTGATATGACATGTGCACATGTATTGTTGGGCTGTGCTGGAAAGTCTTCTCTCCATTTCATCACCCTATTCATGAGGGGCATAATATAGGGATGGACTTCTGTAATTTCTCAGAGCATGAATAACATGCTAGGAGGGGGAAGGGTTTATCAATAGCATTAGAGAGACCTTTTCTCAGCCTTGCTCATCACCACCACCCCCCTCTTTAAAGCCTTTAAAAACACTGACAGGACTCTTCCAGAGCTATTGATTTGAGGGTCCTCTCCACCCACCTGCATCTCCAACACCTTGTTTCAGTGCTGAAGATCTAGTTTAAGCACCACAAGTTTCTGCCAGGTAAAAATCACCCCGTTGAGCATCTGCTGGGCGCTATTCTATATTTTTTTTAATATGGCAGTTGAATTTTAAAATTGTTTTGAAGGTTGCTTTTTTAAAATTATTTTTACTCTCTTTCTCAAATAATGTTATTTTAAATCAAAAACTAATGCTGGGCTTTAAAATTTATTTTTAGTGCCCTTTTAAAGGATATGTCTATCTTTTGTACATCATTTTTGGAGCCCTGGTAGACAGAAAAGTGATTTAAAATTATTTCTGATGAAGGATAATAGAAATTCAAGATGTGTGGGAAGCAACTGGAACCAGGAAGACTATATATATATATTTTCACAGCTGAAATCTCAGATGCAAAATAACTGTTTAACATGGTGAGATATGGCCCATTCCTATCCAGAGATGATGCATTTTCCCCCCACAAATGCAAAACTTACCTTTTCTTCATCCCTTCCCAACACTCCTTATTTTATGAAAAGGTCATAGGGAAAATCCAACATTGCCTTAGTAGAATTTATGTACTTATCAGCAACGTGTGGCTCAAATTTGTCAAGACTTTCTGTGTAGTGTGGCAACCGTTACTTTTGACTGGAATATCTGGATTAAAGAATATTTTGTGATATCAGCATCACAAATCACTTAAAACCAGACTAGTTGGGTTTATTTGATTTAGGATGCAGTGTCTGAACTCCAAGTGTACTACATTTACTGATTGATAGCCTGGGGCCAGTTGGTACAAACAGGAGATCATAGTACAAAACTATTTCCTAGACTTCATCTCTTCAAGCTATGGAAAGCAAATTGTATCCAATCAAAGTCCTTGTGTTAAAAAATAAATTTAGCAAGATCAGAAAGCTAGCTAGGGTCCAGCTTCTCTCTAGGACATATCAAAAAGATGTAAGGAAGCCCTCCAACCTATTCTGTACCTGAACAAACAGCTTACAGATTGGGGTTGATCCACCCTGTACTCTTTAGGAGATATTCTGAACTCATCCCACCCCTGGTTCAGGAGATGTGTGTATTTCTGGATCTTTGTTTTAAAGGGGAGAAAATCCAGCAAATGGGAGAGAAGTACAAATGGCTGTGAGGAGAGGGCTGCTCAGTGCCTCAAAGGCCGTACAACAATTTACACACAAACAAACAAACAAACAAACACACACACACACACACACACACACACCTAATAGTGTAATAATATTTCAGTAAAGTAAGCTGCATGAGCAAACAAAAAAGAAAGACTATTCCAGTATCCAAACTGCTGCCTAAACTGTGACACAAGTCTTTCTCTTTCCCCCACAGTTCTATAAAATGGCTGGCAAGGTGGCTCCAAGGGGATATGCACACTATGGGTGATGTCACTCTGGTCTCTCTGTAGCACCTCAGTACTAGGAGTGTCTAGAGGAGATCTTGGGTTTTAATGGGGGTGGGGGGTGTTCTCTGTCACTAACCTTCTTTGGCATCAGGAGCTCAGTTTACAGTTACTGTATTACTTTCAATTTCTACTTTGCTCCGTTGAACGTACTAACCATATTTTAACCCCACAAATGGCAAATGGTATATAAAGGATCAGTTTTGTGATGTTGTTCCACGAATAGTGGCTCTTTGCTTTATCCCGCAGTTAATTTGGAATCACTGCAACCCCCTGATTTGTTTCATTTTTTGAACTTTTACCAGCAGACAAATAGTGGCTCTTTGCTTTATCCCGCAGTTAATTTGGAATCACTGCAACCCCCAGATTTGTTAGATTTTTTGAACATTTACCAGCAGACAGTGTTGCTGATAAACTCCCCCGGGAGACTCAACGTTTCTTGCTCCCTATGGCTCCAGGCACCACCGGTAAGCAAAGTTCTTTAATAAAACAACTTGAGTAGTTGAATGCTTTGCAGGTATTAAAAATAAAGATTAAAGATTAAAACGGGAGCAGAGCTTGATACCAACGCTGTTCCTCCCTCAAACTGGAACCGGAAGCCCAGCAGACAGTGTACAGGTCCTAACATTTAATTTAATAATTATGTGCTGCCAAGTCAATTCTGACATGGTGACTTTTTTCAGGGTTTTCTAGATAGAGACTACTCAGAAGTGGTTTACCCTTCCCTTCTCCTGGGAGCACCTTGGGTCTGTGGAGCTTGCCCAAAGCCACACAGACTTACTGTACTCCCAGGAGGCACAATGGGGAATCAAACCCCTAAAATATGACTCCACAGCCAGATACCTAAACCACTGAGCTCCACGTGGGCACTATCATGCTCCTTGTTTCTTTGTTCCTTCCTTCCTTCCTTCCTTTTAGGTAGAGAGTACTCAGAAATGGCCTACCTGTCCTTTCTTCTGAGGGCATCCTCGGTCTATGCAGTTTGCCCAAGGTCACACAGGCTGGCTCTTCTATGAGGAACAATGTGAATTAAATTCCCACCCTCTGGCTTCACAGAGAAAACCTAACTCACTGATGTATCCGATCAGGACCATCTAATTTACTGTGTGCATTTCCTCCATTAGGGATGTGAAGAAATCTTGACATTATCAAGAATATAATTGAGACTGGACCTCTCAGTATAGCGGACAGCACTCAAGCATTTTTCAGCCACCTCAAAAGATCTTCCTGTCTTCCTTTAGTACTTTGTACATACCTCCTGTAATTTGCACAAAATGTCTTCAACACAAATCTAGTTCATATATTTGTGTTTACCTGTATACACTCCTACAGAAGCATGTACTGCAAGGCAGGCTGACAGATAAAAAATGCAGTCACCCCAAGCTACTGTTTTTTACTTGAAGGACACTTTTTTTCCAGAAATTTGACAGAAATGTGCAAAAACGATAATGGAAATGCATAAATTTTCTCCAAAAGATAACATTCTCCACCAGCCACTATGTTGCACTGGTTCCCAGTAAGAAGGAATTCTTTGCTACATGAGGATGAATCAAAACAGGAATCATCCCTCTGCCTCCACCCATGAGGAGAGTGAGTAAGACTTAAAAAGGACCCAAGGTGGCTTACATAATTGAAAAGCAATACTTAAAGCTGATGACAATATTTAAAGTTGAAAACAATGAGTATACAATGATGGTTTACATCCTAAAGGTGGAAAGCCTACAGGTTTGCGCAAATGACAATATTTAAAGTTGAAAACAATGAGTATACATCCGTAAAAATCGCTGTTTTGCAAAAACATCGTCTTGCGAAATGCGGTTCCCCATTGGAATGCATTGAAATCCATTTAATGCGTTCCAATGGGGAAAATAGTCATCGTCTTGTGAAAATCGCCCATAGAGAAACCATTTTGCGAAGCGCAGATCAGCTGTCAAAATCATCGTCTTGCGAAAAACAGTCCCAAAAACACCCGTTTTGTGAAGTGTGGACCTAGCTCTCAAAATTGTTGTCTTGCGAAAAATGGTCCTGGAAAAAAAACCCATGTTGCGAAGCACAGATCGAAACATTGTCCAGCAAAAATCACCCATAGGAAAACCCATTTTGCGAAGTGCTATAGTGATCGCAAAAACTCATCGTTTTGCGAATAAACCATTTTGCGAGGTAATCGTCTAGCGAGGCACCACTGTATTTGGATTTTTTTTTACCACAGAACCCTGAAATCAACCCATAAGAGGCTAATGCAATAGGCATACCTTTAATCCCTTTCCAAATTCTATTAGTGACTAAAATAAAATAAAGATGAGTATCAGAGCTGCTCCCCTCCCCCCCAAAAAAACCCATGGCAAAAATACCCCAATATTCCCTTGAGGGCATAAGGGAGCTCATTTTTAAAAGCTCTTAAAATTGGGGGTGGGGTGAAGGAGGGTGATGGACAGGTACTGGGGACATATCGGGCTTGTGGGGGGGCACAGAAGGCCATGGTTGCACTATGCCCACTCCTGGCATAGAATGTTGAAGTCACCCCAAAAGTTTACTTTGGTCCCTTGAGGTCCTCTTCTGTTGCTATTTGTCTTTGGGTTTTAACAAAGACCTATGGCTACTTAGGTGCTGATGTCCCAGAATGGTAAATACCTTTTATCTGTTCATCTGCCAAGAATGAAGCCGCTCCCTTTGAACTCCCTCCTTTGGTTAGCTCAGCTACTTCTATCTATAAATATTTCACTTCTCATAAAAAATACATCAGTTCAACATTGCTCTTACACCTTTGCAGTGCTGTTCAAAACATGACAGATGCTGGTCCTAATCCCATTCAAAAGACACGAATCCACGTGTATATTTTCAAGATGGGTGCAATTTAGTTTTTATCCTGCTTCATTGTCTCGTCTACAAAAATATACCATTCATTAGAGGTTGCATGTTACCCTTTAAAAACTAGAGAAACTGCAGAGGGCGTGTTTTCCTGAAGCACCTCATCAGAGATTTGAAGAACACACATCGAAATTCTCCAGGTGCAATACACAAACTTTGTGTGGCCTTTGGCTGCTCTTGGTTTCCTCATTAACTGGAGTTCATCCGAAGCAGGGTCTCCAGGGTTGCTTCTGCTTCCACCCTAGATTGTATTCTCTGGAAAGAGAGTCATTTGTCTCATCTATTTCTACAGAGGTTCCAGGCAATACTCTTTTCGTGCTTCGACATTCCAGTTGTCTGCCTGTCCTTTTGCTCCAGATTTGTTACACCTTTTAAAATCGAGAATGCAGCTATTAAGTGCAGCAAAGCAGAACACTGTTGAGCCTTCTCCCAGAACTATCCTCCCTTAATTTATGCATCCCATTCTTTTCATCATTTGTATGTTTCTGTTGCCTTGGCATTCCTGACTTACCATTGAGGTCAGTTTCTGTTCCCAGCAAAGTGAGAGGATCTTCCATCATTGTTTTCATTTTTGCAGACATAGCAACTCCTCATTAAAAGAAACAAACAAAAACAATTCTTTAAGATTTCACATTGACTGAACATGGCTTGGAAGGCCACATTTCAATACAACGAAACCACAAGAAGCACCAAAAGGGTTTCAATGTCTGTAGCTTATGCCTGCCTCATTTTTTGTCCCTCTATTGATGTGATCTAAATTTGGTGGGGAGTTTAGCAATCCAGAACATGACTGCAGTTCTACAAATCTGGGGCTTTCATTCAATATCTCCTCCTTCATTGTACAAAGCCTAGTAGGTAACTCTAACCTATATGTGAAAATCGCCCATAGGGAAAAATGTTATACGAAGCACAGTCTGACTCTGAAAAAATAAACGTTAAGCGAAAAAAACGTTAAACGAAGCAAACGTTATGCGAGGCACCACTGTAGATGGTTTGCTTTGGTTATTGAGTGATTTCCGTCCAAGCAATCAAGATGGTGTAGCAGGTCATGTGCATGGGCCTTTCCTGTATGTAGTACCATCCTCTGCCTACCCCACTTTCATGTGGGGAACTTATCTGCTCAGCAGAAGCCTGCTGAATGCATGTAGGATTTCTCCTTGTTGAGAGAGACAAGGTCAGTAAACTCAGGCCAATAGTCTTAATCATATGGAGAGAATAATACACAAAGATGACTAGTAAATAGACCACCACATACTTCATTTTATTTAAAATATTTATCCATTTTCTTTCCATTCAGGAATTGAATGCTTCAAGTACTGTGATGCAACAATGCTTAATCTCTTCATTAGCTATTTTATTATTATTAATAGATTGTTATTCTGAACAGGTGACCACAATCTAAACCAGGGTCAGGTTTTGCTTCTGGTTGGGAGGTTTTGTTTGAACTGAGATTTGAGGTCCTGTTCTGCTGGAGGCAGGGGAAAATAAATAGTTGGTTTTGGTTTGAATATGGGTTTCTTTTAGAGCTGATTCGATGGCTTGAGAATGTGCTTCAGCACAATTCTCCAAAGGAATGGGAATCTTCAGATACCACTTTCGAAGCTTCACTTGGTACTTGTAGAAATATTGGCCATAAATTATTAGAAGGAGGGTTCTAAGATGCTTTGGGCTGTCCTCCACACCCGGGGCAGACACACAGAAAGAAAATGAATCTAAATCTTTAGTTTTTCATTTTCTCATGGAGTTCAATGGAGTTGGATTAATTGCATTAGAGAACTGTACACTCTTTGTAGTAAAAAGCTCCATCTGGAATAAAGATCAACCCCTTCTCTCCCTTGGAATGAGAACAGCCTGCCTCTGAGTTGAAGAAAGAATGTTGGAATCTATTTACCTTTGTAATAATGTGTAACCTTGACACTCAGAGCTGCAGCGTTCTGTTGTTATGAGAACATCTTGTCAAAGCAGTACGAGAGGGATGTCAACCAATTCAATAAATCCAGGCAAAGTGTTAGTTTATTTCTTAGCATGTGGACGAATGTGCCACCCTCCTATGTGGTCATACCAAAAGCTTGTTGATCTTGGGAAAGATTGTTATGAAGTACATTGTGAAATATCCTCCTTTCCTCGGGTTTTTATTTTCACATTACAGCCAGTATGGTGTGATAAGCTGGTGGACCACAGGGAGGTCAAAGTGATTCAGTTGGGCTGGGTCTCAACTTTCACTTAAGCATTAAAGCTCAGTGGGTGCTTTCTTTCTTTCAGACTTACCTGACCAGGCTGTTGACAGGACAAAATGGATGAGAAGAGAACCAGGTGAGCTCACCCTGGACCCCTTGAAAGAAGAGTGGGTTATGAATTTGGACACTGTATTTCTAGTGATCCAATACAGTGGTGCCCCGCTTGTTGACAATAATCTGTTCCAGGAAAATCGCTGTTAAGAGAAATCGTCACCAACCTAAAAAAAAACACAAAAAAACCATTGGAATGCATTGAAAACCGGTTAATGCGTTCCAATGGGGAAATACCTCATCGTCCAGCGAAGATTGCCCATAGAGAACCGCTGATCAGCTGTTTAAAATCACTGTCTTCCAAAGCTTCTGTCCGGAAAATAGCCATTTTGCGAAGGGAGGGAAGCCATTTTGTGAAGGGAAGCTATTTTGCGGAGCCGGAAATACATCATTTTGCGAACAAATGGTTCACGAAGCAGGCACCTGAAAAAACCATAGGAACCATCATTTTGTGATCGCAAAAAACTCATCATTGAGTGATTTCGTCGTCAAGTGGGGTCATTGTCAAGCGGGGCACCACTGTATTCAACTAAAGATACAAAGCTAGGAAAGGTCAACACAAATACTTGATTCTGCCCTTTTAATCAAAAAACCAAAAAGATTTTAATAGCTTTCAGTCATATGGTTTGCTGGGTATTTTCTCAACCCTGGGAATGCCAATGCATTGAGAGTTATAGAAATAATTAGGATTAGTGTTAGGGAAACACCACATTTAGCAGGAGCATGTCTTTTGTTTCCTGAATCTATAGGGGTCAAAAAACCCTGCAGAAATGGGTCAGCCTAGTGAAAACCAGAATACACCATTTCTGCTTCTTGGGTTTGTGGTTAGCCAAAATATGGCATAGGAGATTTTTGTTCCAATAAAGTATGATTATACATTACAGTGATTTGGACAAAAAGCATTCAAATAGAATCAAGGCATACATTCGGTTGTTTTGTTTTGTTTTTTAATTGTTTGGGGGTATTGCCTTAAAAATATACATGGCAAGCAGCTGAAATTTGGGGGATCATTTACCACTCTTAAATTGACAGTACCTACCTTGTAGATCTAGTTCTGTGTGAATTCTGCAACAAAATGTGACTTTGTGGTACTAAAATGACCTATCTGCCTGTATCGGTTCAATGGAGCCAAAGCAATCTGGGTCAAATCCTCCATACTTTCTGAGCAGCCTGGATCATGACATCATCTGCCAACCCCTCAGACTTCCCCATTCCCTA